TAGTGGGGTGGGAGGGAGGGAGGGAGGCGGGGGGAGGGGAGTACCAATGCAGTGGTAAAGCATCAGCCTTGAACAAAACAGCTAAGCAAGAGCATGGAGCCCAGAGTTTGAGCCCCAGATTATGAAGGAGAATGGAGACCAGACATCTTGTCAGAGTCAGGCTTCCTCTTAGGAAATGCGAAGAGGTACCACACACACACACGAGCCCAGGTATTGGAGCCGTTCTGGAGACATGCCTTGCTCAGGTATAATTTCTGGGCCTCGGTTCCCCGGGGGAGGGAAGTGTACAGACTGGAGCAGAGAACCTCCAAGATGTCTCTCTGAGGAAGACCTTGCAGACAAGACCCCCTCCCCCCCCCCCCCGCCTTGGGCATCACATCTAGGTACACCTGTCTTCACCCCCCTCCCACACATCTGCAGTACTTTGTATCTGCCTCGTTCACTTATATCCTTTAAGTTATGCACCTGCCGGGTTCCTTCCCCTCCCTTCCCCCACCCCCCGCAGATGTGGGGGTCTTGCATCTGAGCTCCCCAATATAGATGGCTCCCGTGTCTTCAGTAGGCTCAGCACAGTTGTGGATACCAAGGTCCACTACTGGGGAAAAAAAAAAAAGCGGGTTGAAATAGATCAATCTTAATTAGATGTGTGGGTTCCAGATGTTTCAGTAATGACAATACTAATACTGTTAATAATAGCGACTGACGTGACTTAACTCCTCTGTTTATCAACCACGGGCTACACCATTTGGGTGTACGATCTCATTAATTTCCTTCCCCCCCCCCCTTTTCCTTCGGAACTGCCGTTTTTCAGGTGAGTCTTAGAAGTGCGCTTGCTCGAGGATTGTCGGCCAGGTTGCTGTAATCTGTCAGGAGCGGGGTGGGAGGTCGTGGGTTGGTTGCAGGGGACTGCGAATGTACCCTTGGTCCACCAACTGTGTGTGCCTTCAAGTCCCGGCTCAGAGTATCTGAACGAAAGCCTTCCTGCCTTTTAGCAGATTCCGAGTCACACAAAGCTGGCAATGGATGTGTATGTGTGTCGGGGGAGGTGGGAGGGCATCTCTGTCCCGGTATACAACCCCCCTGCCCGGGGGGGGGGAGGTCTTCCAGGAAGGTATTACTTCATTATTACTCATCTTCCTCACCAGTTCCCCTTGGGGAAAGGGGAGGGGATGTCTAAGAATTCCATTGTGGCCATAGCAATGCACAGTTAGCAGGGCCAGCCTACCCAGCACCTCGTGCCAACGTGGAATTCATGTCTAAATTCGGAGACTGGAAGGTTGGCTTTATTAAGATTCCCAGCAAAGGAATCCGCTTTGGGGGTTTACCAATCTTCGTCAGATTCCCCCCCCCCCCCCCCCCCGCTTTCCCCAGTGATTACTCAAGAGTGTATTATTGCCAACTTAATGCCTACAAATATACTCTCCTGCTTCCTGCCACCCACTCTGCCTCCCCATTCTTTCTTTCTTTTATAAACTCATGTGGCCAAAACCAGATTCAGATTCAGGAAGATTCTGTCCCAAGCTCGCAACGCTTGGGCTGCCCTCTGGACAGCTCCACAAGGATCATACTTCACCCTCCGAAGCCACCATGACAACCATGTCCCCTGCAGCTCCGACCTCTCTCAGGTACTCCTGCAGGCTTTCGGAGCGTCCATCCCCAGAAAAATCGGGATCCTTCACGGCCTCCTCTTGCTCCCAAGTGGAAAATCACAGCTCAACACTTCCCTCCATCCTTCACTGGGACTGGATTTCCCTAGCCCTCTTCACAAAACATGTTCATCAGTAGTAACCGTGGCAACAGATCAGACAGGCTTCAAAAGAAAAAGCCTGTCTGTGTGTAATTAAGAAAAAGGAGGAAGCAGCCGTGAGAACAGGGAGCTCAGACAAGGGGTCCGTGGTGCTGTGTCCTTGGTGCTTGGCCACCACCAAAGGCGCTTTTGTTGACACAGAGAGAGCAGATTTTCTTCCTCCCTTCTGGCCTCCCTTTTTCCCTCCTCCCCTTTTCTTTTCTTTTTAAAAACCTCCTTCCCGGGGAATGTTGCTGGGGTCCCACAGATTCCGGACTGATTGAGAGTCTCTGCAAAAGAGTAGGGCCTGAAACCGAGCAAAAGGGGCAGAAAGTAGCCCTAGCATCTTCCTCTAAGGGAGAATTTCTACCAGGGCCAGACCTGCTATGGTCAGGCTCTTCATTGCGTCTGGAGAGAGGCCGGTCCGCCTGCCTGTGGGAACGTGCCCATCTCTTCAGAGCACAAGCACACGGGCATTGGGAGTCGTTACTGCAGGTCGAAGCCGGAGCAGGTCTGATCTGGAACCTGCCTTCTGGGAATGAGGGACAGATCTCAACCTGGCTGGTATCTGTGAAGGCCAGCCAGGAGCGTGTGACCTCACAGCACTGATTCTTACCTGAAATTACTGCCTTTTTTTTTTTCCCCCGGTGGTGGGAGAAACAGCCCCCATGATACTGGAAGATGGCCAGTCCTGTTGATGTTTTCTGCTTCTCAGGGGGCTTAGAAGAGTGCAAGGAAGATTTTTAAAGGAGTGTGTGCAAAAAAAAAAAAAGGTGAAGGGAAGGAAGGAGGGAGGGATGAAGGGAAGGAAGGAAGGAAAGAAGGAGGAGGAAGACCAAGGAAGGAAGGCAGGAAGGAAAGAAGTATGAGGTCCCAGTCATTGTGGCTAGAACCCTTTACCACGAAGGGGGAGGGGAACGCACCCGCAGGGCACATTCTCCTTGCTCTGTAGGTCTACTCTCAGGAAAGGCCTTTCCATGTCTGTGTTTGCTCACTGGAGGAAAAGGATCCCATCCGCCCACCCTTGGATGCAACCACCCGTCCCGTCCCCACGTGTAACACAGACACACACACACTCCCTCTCTCTCTCCCTCCCCCTCCCCCTCTCTCCCCTTTCCCTTCTCCCCTTCTCCCCCTCTCTCTCCCCCTTAGAAGCACCCATGAGTTCCGGAGAGGCCTTTGATTGTTTCCCCCGGGAACCCAGTTTCTAAATAATCCCAGAAATGAAGTCTCCCCCGAACCCCTTTGCATTTCCCTTTCTGAGCAACTGGAAGCAAAAATGAACAGACAAGGAGCCACCAGATCTGGGTGGCAGCTCCCAGGCTACCAAGATGTCTCCAAACCAGTTTTTTTTTGTTGTTGTTGTTGTGGTTGGTCATGGGGCTTGAACTCTGGGCCTGGGTCCCTCAGCTCTTCAGCTCAAGGCGAGCGCTCTACCACTTGAACCACAGCGCCACTTGCGGTTTTCTGAGTGGGTCATTGGAGATAAGAGTCTCACAAGCATTCCTGCCTGGGCTGGCTTTGAACAGTGATCCTCAGATCTCAGCCTCCTCCTGAGTAGCTAGGATGACAGGCGTGAGCCACCGGCACCCGGCTCGGTGGAGAATTCTTGAATGCCGTTTTCAAGACTTCATGGTGGGGGGGGGAAACAAAAGCTTCCTGAATTCTGCCCCGTTGCAAATGCGTATCAACACCGCGCGTTTAGCTTGGACCTAATGGGCTTTATATAGCACAGTAGTGATTTTCTTTCATGTTTTAATGGAATCCGATTGAATATTTGCTCGCTGCTCTAGCCGCTTGCCAGCGCCTGATTCAACACCGTCTCTTCCCCCGCTGCCTCCCGACCTTGTTGTTATTCTCTGCTTCTGTACGTTGGCATTTGATTCCCGTCTCCAGCATGAACCGCTTTACACATGCCTCCCTTCAGCTGGCGACAGTCACGTGTGTGAATGCTGAATGCATTACTATGTGGAGAGACGGCTCTGGCAGACCTGCCGTTTGGAAGGGAGGAGGAGGAGGAGGAGGAGGAGGAGGAGGAGGAGGAGGAGGAGGAGGAGGGGGAGGTGGTGGTGGTGGTGGTGGTGGTGGTGGTGGTGGTGGTGGTTGCTTCTGGGCAAGGTTCATTTCCATTCATCCCTTAGGCACCAGCCTGTTTTTAGGGATCGTTTCTCTACCTTAATCTTGAAATGCCCACCCCCCGTGACTATTCGCCGCAACATCTCGCTCTCCTACAAAGTAGTAGCTTTCCAGAAGCCGTTCCCAGGTCTGTGGGACCACCGAAGAGAGCTGTCCAGCAGGAGGGCACCATGCTCCCTGAGTCCCGGCGAGCCCAGCTTCTTTGCCTGAGGAGTCAGAGACGCTGGGGAGCGACCCCGCGGCCCGTCGGGCTTCCAACGTGGCTTTATTTCGTGCTCACCACGTCATCTGCAGCCAGCTTCCTCTGTGAACTTCGGTGTGCCTCCGGATGCCCATTCTGTCTTCCTAGTAGGATTCTTGATTGAGGGTGTGCTTGGCGTGTGTGTGTAAGATGGGGTCACGCATTGAGTGCGTCCACGTGCGTTCCGACATGTCTCCTGTATCTTGGGGCAGTTGTGTGAGCCTCTCCTGTCCAGCCTTTCCTTCTGGCCTTGGTACCCCAAAGTGTGTGCCCCGTGGAGGTTCACACCTGCTTCGGTGCTCCGTGACACCCCACGTGTCCCTGCAAGCACCAAACAGATGTCATGTTGTAGTTTGGGGGGGGGGGACAGAAATAAAACCCGCTGCTCACATCCTTCTGTTGACTCCTCTGGTCAAAAATAAAGCAAAAAATAAATCATCTGTGGGGATGATTGACAGGGGAGTTTGGGATAGGTTCTTTTCACAGCCAAGAAGAGGTGTGTGTGCGTGCGTGTGCACACGCACGTTGTGCTGGTACTGTGGCTTGAATTCAGGGTCTCATACTCTTACTTGGCTTTCAGCTCAAGAGTGGCCCTCGACCACCTGAGCTCTACTTCCAGCTGTTTTTTCTTTTTTTTTTGGTCAGTCGTGGGGCTTGAACCCTGGGCCTGGGCGCTGTCCCTCAGCTCTTCAGCTCAAGGCCAGCGCTCTACCACTGGAGCCACAGCGCCACTTCCTGTTTTCTGAGTGGTTTATTGGAGATAAGAGTCTCACACGTTCCTGCCCAGGCTGGCTTTGAACCGATCCTCAGCTCTCAGCCTCTGGAGGCGCTAGTAAGATGACAGCTCCTGTGCGTGGCAGTAGAGCGTGTACGTTTACGGTTAAAGAAGGTGAAGGACGAAAGGGATCGGGTCACCAGCGGCCGCCCGGAGACGCCGTGGCGGTGTCCGGCCTCACCGGCTCTTTCGGTGTGTCTCCCTCTCCAGGTGTCCCCTCGGGTCCCCGAAACGTCATCTCTATCGTCAACGAGACGTCGATCATTTTGGAGTGGCACCCTCCGAGGGAGACGGGCGGGCGGGACGACGTGACCTACAACATCATTTGCAAGAAGTGCCGGGCGGACCGCCGCAGCTGCTCCCGCTGCGATGACAACGTGGAGTTCGTGCCCCGGCAGCTGGGCCTGACTGAGTGTCGCGTCTCCATCAGCAGCCTCTGGGCCCACACCCCCTACACCTTCGACATCCAAGCCGTCAACGGCGTCTCCAGCAAGAGCCCCTTCCCCCCCCAGCACGTCTCGGTCAACATCACCACCAACCAGGCCGGTAAGCCCCGGACACGGCTGCGGGCCTTGTGCGTCTCGGGCGGTGGGGGTGGCTGGGCTCGGTGGGAGGGTGACATTGCCTGATACCCTTCTCCATTGGTCTTCGGGCCCCGCCTCCCACCAGGGGATGGGCATGTGTGGCCGTGGAGTGGGAGGAGTCTATGGTAGTGTGCCAGAGCCTAGAGCATTCGCTCCTGCCCAGCACAAGAGCAGAGACAGATGTCCACGCTAGAGCAGGACCTTTGTGCTCCGCATCCAACCAGGCTTTCAAGACATGCTGTTTTGGAAAGGTGGACGGGGGCGTGGACAGATGGATGGATGGAGGGATGGAGGGATGGATGGGTGAATGAGTGGGTGGACAGACATCTAGACAGCTGGAACTTTCGAATGGAAAAGTCAAAGCGATTGCCCCCAAATCGTATGCTAAAGGCCATACTGTCGCCATGGGTTTTGTTTTTGTTTTTCTTTCAATGAAACCTCTGTGTTTCAAGAGGGAATCTCTCCTACTGGCTGGCACGGGTGCATGCTGCGGTGTCACGGAGACCTCACGTTGGTGGCCATGGATCCCGCCGCATCCCTGCGGCACACCCCGACAGAACACACGCTTTCTTCTTCCCTCTGACTCTTCTGATCTCGCCTCTTGACCGTGTCTCACCCATCTGGCAACCCTCCCGAGAGGGGACACACGGGTAGTCGGGCGCTGCCGGCCTCCCTCCAGCGACGCTCATTTGCGGAAGGACTCACGGGGACAAGCTTGGTGTGCTGTAAACCCGTGGGAGCTGGGAGACCACAGCCTTTCCCCCCACCCCAATCCCCTGCATCCGTACCAGGCTGCAGAGGGCAAATGCACGTCGCTTCTGCGGACGATGGAGGCCGGGGGCAGTGGAGCATGATCTTGGAATTATGGATTGTTCTCAATCAACACATCCTAGATGGACAGCTTGTTAGTCAAGTAGCAAGAGTTAACTCCCCCTCTCTCTCTTTCTCTCTCTCTCTCCCCCCCCTCTCTCACTCACTCTCTTATCCGTGCCTCTCTTCTCTTCTTGACTTCCCCTTTCCTGCTCGATCCTTTTCTCTTCCTCCTCGCCCCGTTCCTAGACTTTCAGCCTCTTTTAATACCAGGCATCTTTGATGACAGATGATTCTTGGGGGGCGGGGGGGGGGAGGGTTTCAGCTGTCAGAACTGAGAAGAAAAAAAAGGTGTGATAGAGCATAGCTGTCCAGATGGCTGTGTTGTGTGTGTGTGTGTGTGTGTGTGTGTGTGGTGTGTTGTGTGTGTGTGTGTGTTATGTATATGTGTGTGTGCGCGCATACGCGTGCACCCGTGTTCGTGTGGCGTGTTTATGTGTGCATGGTCACGTGTTTGCGTGCGTGCCCGTGAAGTGAGGAAAATAACGGGTGAGCGTGTAGAAGCTTCCAGCTTGCCCTGGTGCCAACGGGGACAAAGGTGGGTCAGCGTGTCTTTTCCCAAGGAGAGGGGAATGGTAGTTGGTGCGCGGCAGCGTAGAACCCCCCCCCCCCCCGCCCCCGGCTTTGTTAGCTGTGCTTCCCTTGGAGAGTTGAAGGCAGAAAACCGGTGGAAATATTTTAGTGTCCCGGCTTCTGGGAATAACAGTCTTGCCAGGCTGTCACGGTATGCTGGGCTTGGCTGTCTCCCTCCCTCACCTCCCCGCTTCTCTCTCTCCCTCCCTTGTCCTCTTTCTCTCTCTCTCTCCCTCCCTCCCTTCCTTTCCACCTTCTCTCTTTCTCCGTCGCTCTCAGCATGTGCGATTAAACCTGCCACTTACATCAGTTTGCTTTTTACTTTCTCCCCCCCTTCCCTTCCCTTCCCCTGCCATTCCCCAAGCCTGCCCATCTGCTTGGCGTGCCATCTGTAACTTCCTAGGCTACCGTGGTGGTGGTGGGGAGCTTAAGGACCCAGGGCTCTTGCAAGGGGACCCCTGTGTCACCCACTGTTGGATATATCAGTTTCTATCCCCCCCCAACCCCCCCCCCCCCAAACCTCCCTCCTGTCCTTTGTTCTCCTTGTAACCTGCCTTTCAGTCCTAATCTTCCGGCCTCGTGGCTATGATTTCTCTTTGGGTAACTCAGAAAGTTAATTATCAATGAGAAGAAGGATGTGATTTCTCTTTTGTGGTGCATTATTAAAAAAAAAGTCAGGAATTGCAAATTGTTTGGATAAACCCTAAACTCACGGACATGCAGTAAGGTCCGGTCCGGGTCACCCCCCCCCACCCCCATATCCTGGCTTCACACATGAGCCATGTAAGAGCCTGTGACCATCACCAACTTCATGTGTGGTCCATAAGTAGGCAGATGGCTGGGACACAATTTGACCCATAGCAATCAGATCATTACAGCCAACCTGTAAGAGTTCATTGAGTACCTACTCTGTCCCTGAAACTCCAACTCCAACTCTGTCATGATTGGATACTGTTGGGTGGGACCTCACCCAGGAATAAGAGCGCTGGTGACGGTTAGAGCTATCACCCGGTCTGCGTGTGCCCCGTGAGCTCATGCAGAATTCTGGAACATGTCACGCTCGTTTTGTCTTCATCATTAGCCAATGATGGGCAGCGTTGTTTCTCAGATAAGGAAGCCGAAGTGGAACAAGATATTGGAGAATCTAAGGTGGGAGGAAAGCCTAGATCATCTAGGATGGGAGGAAGGTCAGCAGGACACACCTCGCTGATTCTACCTTCCCACATCCCATCCTCAAAGGGAGTAATCCCTCTGAGATCCCCACTTTATAGTCCCTGAAAATAGATGTCTGTTCATGGGTGTAACGATGAGGGAAGAGAGTTTGGAGGTTCTATAATGATCCTTCAGGTCACTGGACTCTTCACTCAGAAGCAAGCATGATTGTGTGGTACATACAATGAATTCTAGGCTGCCTTCTCCCCCTTTCGTTCCCTTCAGCTATCCCATTCCCTATGTTACACCCCCTCCCCCTTGCAAGTTCCCATTTCCTGGTACTTACTTTATTGGTTTTTTGACTTCTTCTTTCTAAAGAATTACACTATTTGAGCTCTCCATAGAGTCTATTATACGTCAGCTAATTCATTTGTAACCACTTGCATATCACCCAGTGCGTTTACTTATAGATTTATAGGCACATTTTGTCTGCCACGAATGAGGAAAACCATGCAACCTTTGTTTCTCTGGGTCCGGCTTGCTTCACGTAATATAATTTTTTTCAAGGCTTTCCATTTCCTTACGAATGCCAATATCATTCTTTCTGGTGGAGTAGAGTTCATATATATATATATATATATATACATATATATATATATATATATATGTATATATATGTTTATATCTCACATTTTCTTGATCCATTCATCCACTGAGGGGCATCTGGTCTGATTCCATGTCTTAGCTATGGTGACTAATACTGCAATGAACATGGTTGTACCGGTAGCTTTAGTGTGGCTTTGTTTGTGCTCTGTTGGATAAATGCCCAGGTGTGGAATTGATGGCAAATAGGGTAGTTCTATGTTTTTTTTGTTTTTTTTTTTTTGAGAAACCTCCTTACTGCTCTCCGAAGTGGTTGGACAAGTTTATATTCCCACCAACAGTGTGATAGAGTTGCCTTTTTGGCCATATGCTTGCCAGAATTGGTTATTGTTAGTTTTCTCGATAACAACCCATTCTAACTGGGGTAAGGTGGAATCCCAGTGTTGTTTTGATTTGCAAAATTAAGAAACATAAGGGAGCCGGGCGCTGGTGGCTCACGCCTGTAATCCTAGCTACTCAGGAGGCTGAGATCTGAGGATCACGGTTCAAAGCCAGCCCAGGCAGGAGAGACCTTGAGACTCCTATCTCCAATAAACCACCAGAAAACCGGAAGTGGCGCTGTAGCTCAAGTGGTAGAGCGCTCGCCTTGAGCTGAAGAGCTGAGGGACAACGCCCAGGCCCAGAGTTCAAGCCCCACGACCGACAAAAAAAAAAAAAAGAAACATAAGGAAAGGAGTGGGTCAAAGGGGGAAGAAAACGTGGCAGGGAAAATATGGATCAAGATGCGTTGTATACATCAACTACTTTGTTAAATGTCAAAATAATTGAATACGTATCCTTAAAAAAAGAAAAGTGAGGGAAGGGATGGGTAAAAATGTTGGAAAGAGTTACACTGACCAAGATGCGCTGTATTCATAAACGGCTTTGCCGGATGCCAACTCCTTCATACAGCTACTTAAAGAGAATCAAACTATGCCAAAAGAAAGAAACAAAAATGACTGGGAAAACATTAAAGGGTCTGACTCCAAACCAGGGGTACAGGCATGACCCCTCAAAGGCCTTGTGTAATTTGGAAAATGTGCAGAGTAGATCTTTACCAAGGTTACATGGCAAAAGCCAACAAAGGTCCCTACCGTTTCTGAGCACCAACAGGGTGCCCACCCACCTAGAAAAATCCTTGGGAAAGATAGGAGAGGACCCATGAAGAAATCAGGATGCGGGGTGCTTTTAGAACCTTCCGGAACCAGAAAATATTATTCCTGGGTTTCAGACTCAGGTTGGTGGTTATTTTATCCTCAGACAGATAAAAAAGAAAAAGAGATCACCTTTCTGGTGGCACATGTCATTCATAAGCTCCTCTCTAAGCTATTGCCTCGTAGCTGGGCCGTTTTTAGTTGTCAGAAAAAAAAAATGAATGACAAACTTCAGTTCTCTCTTCCGCTAACTAGACTGAGAGCATCAGAGTTGGTGTCTGTGTGCGAGAGAGAGACCAGACGAGAGCTTGGAAGAAAAAGAATGACTCCTAGCAATACATGATTTGGAATTATCCGAGCCAGAGAGAATGAAGGCAGAGGCCCATGAGGCCGGATACATAAATGGAAAGCAAGCAGGCAGGACCAGGCATACGGCAGTAAGGACTGGTAGGAATGGCAGGAAACGGACAGAACAGATAGAGTCAGTGAGTGTAGCCAGCCCTTAGAACTGCCTGGTTTTATAAGCGGAAGCATCCAGATTGAAAATATTGACAACTGATTGGGGGGAAAA